ATCCACCTGGTCGATAGAGCCACTCAATTACTGCATGCTGGATTATTTTAGCGGAATTAATTTGTTTTCTCCATAAACGATATGTCCGCTGGATAATTAATGATGCACGATTTTTTTTATATAACGCTAGTTGAACTTTAAAATTCCTATATTTAGGGTCGTTACCTATTTGTTTATGGCTGGTTAAATTATTTTTGATACGAAATACGAAATTTTCTCAATAATCTCTACTATCTATCTCATATCCTAGCTTTAATAAACGCCTGCGTACATACTTTGGTGGATAATATTTTGCAAACCGTAACCATGCTTCTGACGTTTTAATATTGTTAACAATATAATTTACACCATATTCACTTAACCTATCTCGTGGGCCCTCTAGGCCATTGCTTTGCAATACTCCGCTATAACTCATTATATATTGCTACTTATTTCAGACGTATCTAATATAGTTTTAATTGGTACTTTCTTAAATTCCGCAAGATAAAATTCTCATCGTGGTGTTTTATTATAATCGAAAAAAGTAATTAACAATTTATTATCCCATACTTAACTGAGTTTATTCGCATTTTGGTAATATCGATTTTGAGCATATATCATAAATGATCCATCCGGACGATAAAGCCATTTGATTACTGCATGTTGGATTATTTTAGCTGAATTTACGCGTTTTCTATACCATGAACGGAATACTCGCTGAATAGTTAATACTGCTTGTTTTTCGGCACATATCTTTCGGATGTTCTCAATTTTACTCAGTTTCTCTACTAGCTCATCTAATGGAAGTTCCAATCCACATCTTCTAGCTTCTATCTGATTCTCGGGTGATAATCCACGAAGAAATTGCTGTTTAATAAAGACTTCGTTATTATTATATCCAATAAGTTTACTATGCCATTTTAGTTTCGAATAGAAGTGTTTTACAGAATCTGGACCTTGGATCGTTCGCTCAATAATTGATTTAAATTCATTGAACGTATTTGAAACATTATCCAAGTGTTCTACTATTTCTTTTATAGGCTTTTCAACCCCGAATCTGACAGCTTTTTTTTTGTTATCGGGTATTAGATTTCTGAAGAATAACGCTTTAAACGCATTGCTATTATGATCTATACCTTCTTTTTGGGTCAGTACTTTTAAGTTCTCAAAATAACCCCGTGCACATTGGCCAGATATAATTTCCATCGTGATGTTTTACCCTGGTAGCTTATGTTATTATAATAATATTTAATTCTGCATTTTTAAATTTGTGTTAATAAATAATAATTTCGCATTCACAATGACTGAAGCTAATAACAATATTGATGACAACCCAGTGGAGGAATCCATAAAAAACTTTAAACGATGTTTGATTGACGTCAATGATGAAGTCGTGGAGGGCATAGTTGATTCAGGCTCAAAATGTCCAATTATCACTTATGAGGTTGCGAAAAGATTTGGTTTCATAAAAGATAAAAGTTTACCCAATATTACCGATAAAGCAGTATCTGATATTGTTAAGCAAGTACCGGGTAAAAAAATCTGGATCTCTCTTCACCGATTACTGGAGATAGTGAAACCCGAGATTCAGCAAGATATTATAAACTCGATAACAAACTCGGACATTTCTCGAAGAAATCGTACACCATCTGAGGTTAAAAGAAAAAAGAAAATTTTAAACGATACCGCATCTGAGTCCTCATCATCGTCTTCATCTGAATCTGGGTCTGGGTCCGACTCTGAATGGTATAATGACAATAAAGATATTATATACATATAGAAAAATCAAAGAAGTGTGGTTAGTTCTCATCATCAGAAATTTCTCCGTATAGGTCAGGCCCTTGGGCGCCTCTTCGAGGCATGATACCCGATACTTCATCATATCCTTGTTTAATCATAGGTGCTGGAGTATTTGGTCTGTCATTCATTACACCATAATGTTCAACCGATGAAGCATGACCTATTTTATGCCTACATGCCAATTGCCGTAAATATTGACGGCGGGAATCATTCCTACCTCCATGTACTCTGGAAGCATGATCAGCTCCTATTTTTCTTAATATAAATGAGGTAATTCTATGGCAACTTAGGAATTGATTAAGAGGTGCAACATTAGTATTTCCATCCTTATCTTTTAACAAGAAGGGAAATTTATCCGGTATTGATCTCTGAATCCAGATAAGTAATTCTCTTGCTCGTATTGGATTTTTTTCCATTGAAAGGAATGGTCGGGGTTCTTCTACTTCACCTTTATTTTTTGCATACCCAATACAGTACCAAGAATAGTCAGAATTATACCATGACTCGCGACTTGGTTTGTATCGGTTGATACGAAGATTTTTCACATCTGCTGATTGCATACATAGCATTACCATTACGTCTATTAGATTTTGCATTGAAGGAAGCTTGGTAATATCACATTCATTAAGTCTTTCCTGAACTTTTTCCAGGTAAAAGAACTCAGGACAATCGTAACCATTAATTCCGCGAAGTATACGTTTTCTTGCTTGAATCTGATTTGCTTCTTCAGTAATAAAAGGTATTTTTGTTGCCTCAATAATGAGATAGTCAGCTCCTAAGCTACGCAATTTTTTCCGTAATAAATTAAGACGAGAATTTCTTGCAACAGTAGTGGGAGCAGAAGAAGCCAACTCGTATGCTATTTCATTTATCTCTTCAGGTGAGAGATCATTTTTTATAATATCCTGGGCAATAATTTTGATGGGATCTCTTTCATCAACATGTCTTCCAGGAGCACGAATAGGAATAAGAGTATCAGCTTGCTCCTTACTCAATCCCAACTCTTGGAAGCGTCTTTTGGCCTGATCTCTGGCTTTTCAGGCCTGCTCTTTTGTCTTGCCATCTGAAAGTTTATTAGCCAACTCTTCGGCATAACTACTAAGCTGGGGTAAACTAGTTTGAGGAGTCAATTTGTAGTGATTTACAAATGATGTAGCGATTTTTGCCATGGTTAGTATATGTCAATTGTGATGTTTGAGATGTTTTATATAGACTATTGGGATTAAAGTTAGGGCCATGGAATACTTATATTATTTTCTCTCTTCCATTTTTTAGTTTTGCTTGCTGGACAGAT